CGATGTATGGGGGAGGGGAATGGGGGCTCCAGCATTCCCCCCCAACCTGGATGAATGGCATAAAAGTGAAATTCGGGGGAAAAATACCCCACACCTGTCCTGAAGCTCTCAGCCTTGGGATACAGAATTTAAATACCTAATGGGATGATCTCCTGGTCACTGTGAGGAAGAGGCAGCCAACAGCAGCAGGTGCGGGAAACACTGCAGTGATCATGTGATTCATGGCCCAGCCAATGGGATATTCCCACGGGCCGTCAAATGTGGCCTTTTTGCCTAGATTCATGAGGCCATTGAAATACACCTGATATTGGAGATTCTGTCTGTGGGGGGTGGGGGGGGGGTCAGAGGATCAGATGGGAAATGGACGAACTGCAAAAAAAAAAACAAGAAGCAAAATACAGAATTAGTTAGGCAGTCTGTGCCGCTGGGCTTCTCTCTGTTCTGCCCCCCTTCTCTCTTGCTCCCACCCCCCCGGCTCTATTTTAAGACGACATGGTGCTCGTGTGTGCGGTAGGGGTGGGGGGGCTGTTTGAAGGTCAGCTTAAATAAAAATACTGCAGCGAGTCCGACACTCCGTGTGTATAGAGAATTAATGTAGCTGTCGCTGGATGGTGAGACCAGGCTGATTGATTGACTTGTAAGATGTTGAAAGCTGGCAAGGCGGGAAGGGGGGTGTTATTGTGCTGGAGATAGAGATAGGGAAAGGGAAGGAGAGAGGGAGAGGTGGGGGGGTTAAAACCTCCCATGTTTGGGGGTCTGGGGGGGTCTGGCCCAGCTCCGGTCATCGGCACATGGCCACAGGGCTGGGGGGGCCGTCAGCCAGTGATGGATTGACATATACACTGACCCCCCACCTCTGTCTATTGGGTATTTCTCACACACAGTAGGACGGGGTGCGGAGCACGGGCTCCTTTAATACAGCAAAGCTCATGCGTGCCCCCCCCGATCCGCTCTGCGTGACGCACCCTGATGGCATGATGGCATGCGTGCAAACGCATTTCCAGTGCTCAAAAGGACCTCCCCCCCCCCTCCTCTGATTAATCTCTCCTCCCAGGTTAACACATTTTCCAGCTATCGCTGCCATTGGCCAGCAGAGGAAATGACTCCTGGGTGGGTGGAGGGTTAGACTGACACCGGCCAACGGCAATGTGTAAATTTGCACTTGGAGTACGTGCACCTGCGTCATCACTAAACATGATGCTAGTGTGGAGTAACAACAATGACAACAACAACAATAATAATCATGATGATGAGGGTGCTTTTTAATCAGGTGAGTCAATGCAGTAGCTGACTATCCTAAAGGTTTAATTAGAAACCACTAAATGGAGCCCAAGTAAGAGAGTATTCTAGGCCTGCATCACATTCACACTCCTCTGTATGCTGGGGACATTCACCCTACACCCTCATTTTAGTTTCCCCCAGTCCCACATCGACAGGCCCCACGCCAACTCACCCCCGTCTGTCTCTGGAGACGCAGCCAACGTAGCCGGCGCTGTTCTGTTTGTTTTCCTGACAAATGGCATCATGTTCAGTGGTGTTCAGTGGCGTTCAGTCACCTCCATCCTCCTGTTGGAGAGATAAGGGTGGGGGTAGGGGGGTATGGATATGTGCGTGTGTGTGTGGGGGTGTGGTGTAGCTAAATGCTACAGGCTGGGGAGATGGGCTGATGGGTGCGGTACATGGGCCGCAGGAGGAAGCAGCTCCCGCTTTGTTAAGTGTGGGGGGGGGACTGAAGCTGGCTAATTAAGCCTCACTATGACAGCGCTGTCAGGGCTGACTGATCCCGCAAACGCTCGCTCTCACCCCAGACGATGCTTCGAAGGTGAGCTCTCTCTAATTCCTGCTCCCCCCCACCCTTGTATCTTATTATCGTCTTCCTGTGTAATTGCAAGTCCCAAGGCGAGACACATTAGGACGACTCTTAACAACTGAACATTATGCAACTCGATTGTCTGTGCACTCGAGGAGCTGAATTAGCTACGTGTTTGTTTTAAAACAGGAAGTGAGGATTCACTGAGGAATGCCACTGAGGCTGAACTGTGATTTTCTTATGAAGCGAGTCGGTAATAACCTGCCCCCCCGATAGCAGCCTTGTGCGTCTTTCTTGTGATGATTGTCAGTTGTTTATTCTTGGCAAGCTGAACTCCGCTGGGGGGGAAGTCGGAAATTCTAACAAACCGTTCATTTTAAAACCAATAGCAGCAGGGATAGCACAGCCTTAAGAAGGGGTGTGTGGGGGTCTTACCAAGCTGGCTGTGGGGGTCTGTTACTGGTTTATGATGACATAATGGGAGGTCAAAAACCTCACATACTTCCACATGCGCCGTCTGCATCAGCATCTCTGAGACTTCCCGGTATTTGAAAGGTTTTGAATGATCCGGTACTGATGACATACCGGAACCTGGCCTAAATATTCATGTGATTATAAACTCCACTCGTAAACTATTATAAGTCTAAAAATGCAGAACTGGCAATGTTGATGATGACTTATCAAAGTGTGATTGGGTGTGTGCATGTGTGGATTAGGTTTATATTACCAAATGTCCCCCACAATGTAATAAAACTTGTTATTTTGACGCTGTGGCACGCTTCAGACCTGCCCTTTTTCAGGTCCCCACAAAGATCTGTGAATGCAATCAAAAACACTAAGGGGCAGGGGTTAAGGTCGCCATGTTGGGATTTGAGTTTTCCCCATAGAAGTGAATGGAGAGTCCCCACAACAATAAAATTACAAACCTGTGTGTGTGTGTGTATGTGTGTGCATGCATGTGACAAGCAGAGATGGCATGGATGTTTTGGGGGAGGGGTAAGTTTGGGAGACCTGTCCCTGTGCTGGGGGGGGTGAATGTACAGGCTGTTCCAGGTAATAGCCCAGGGTGCCGGCAGACATCAGGGCCCCCCCTCACCTCGGGAAACATGGAGAGGTTAGTTAAATCGGCATCACCTCAGCGTCCGTGCTGATGTTAGCATAGGGCCCCCAGATAAGTTCATCTGGCCTGCCCCCCGCTCACCTGCAAACAGCTCCTGTGAATATAAACCTTTGTGAGTCAGGGGGAGACTGGGACTGATATTCTGCTCTTGGCTTGTTTCTCCTCGGTTCGTTTCTTTGTCAGTGAGTGAAACAGCCGCTGCGTTGTGTGCTCAGCTTGTCGAGCCGCTCGTATCCCAAGTTGCTGGTAAAATCCGCCCTTTCCATCCTGTCCAGTCCCTCTGTCTAGTGGGATGAGTCTCCACCCTGTGTGTGCTGGGATCCTGTCAAGGGCATGGGTGGCTATATACAACTGGCATTGGGTCTGCAATCACAGTGACCTGATTGGATAAGTGCTTATTTAAAACACTACTACAGAGCCTGATTCACATCCGCCTGACACAGCCAGACTGGGGTCTGTGAAATACCATTGTCATGCACTGGGGTTCAGGATGTTGGGTGTCGCCTGATGTTAGCGGTGTATATGATCAGTTATCCACGGTTTGTTGATCAAATATCACAGAACATTGAAGAAGCACCTCCTTGCATGTTAACAGGCAATGGGAAGACAGGCGATAAACAGGCAGAAGGAAGATCTCTGGGAAGAGGGTGGAGCTTCAAGATTGTCTGCAGCACTCAGTGAGACTTAAGAAAAGTCACAAATCGTCACAGTTACTGGAGATTTGTCAGGCTGTTAAGGGTCTGCAACTGTGAGTACCACTTTCTGGTTAAAACTTACACCAGTGGAATTAACGAGTTAATGAGGCATCCATCCATCCATCCATCCATCCATCCATCCAGTACAGGTTTGTGAGGAGCCTAGAGTCCATGACATGAATTGCTTATTTGCAGTATCTAATTCTTTGTTTTTTTTTTTATTTTGAAAACCCAACAGCTATACTAATGATGTCAGTAACAACAACACAACAACATCAACAGCAATAATAATAATAATAATAATAATAATAATAATAATAATAATAATAATAATAATAATAGGGCCTCCTCCTGGGTCGTTCCCTCCCTTGCACCCGTAGCTCCTTGGGTGGGCTCCAGTCCCCCGTGACCCTGCACAGGACTGGCAGCTATGGTGGTAATAACGGCATGTCTCCATCGATGGGGTGACAGCGCCTCGTTTCCGGGAAGCCGCCTACGCACGGTGATGTCGGCTGGTGCCTCACGCTCAGCACGCGGCCCTTCGGACGGCACGCTGTGTGGATGTATTACTTGGCACAGGCCGCTGTGGCTGTATTGTGCGTACAGTCGGATCGTGTATCTCATCTGTGTTGTTTACTGGAAAGCACTGCCCTTCCCCCACTGAGAAGATCACATGAATGCAAACCATCTCTGCCTGTGAAAGCCTTTATCACAGACTACACAGATGCCCTTTGAAAGCAGTGTTTTCTGAGGCTGGGTGCGCAGAATGCAAAGCTAATGATTCGATATGTTATGGCCATGTGATTAGTATAGGTGGGGGGTGGGGGGCAGAAAGAATTTTGTGGGACTAAGAGTCAGGTGACCAGACTTTTGTGTTGACTAGTTCAACATTTTCCTTGTTCACAAAATGATTATTTCTTGGTTTATTTGACTTTACTTGAAGCTGTCCTTCATAATGCATTATAATGTGTTATACTTTTCCACTTGAAGCTTCTCGTTCACCTTTTTGTCTGTATGACATTGGTCCCTGTTACGAGCGACATTTCCTTGTCTGATCCGCATGTGTCACATGGTTCTCTCTGCTGTTCCAACTAAAGCGATGCTGTTACTGTGCTGTCATCAAGACCTCCACTAGTCACCAGCCTATGAGCAAAGACACTTGTTTGTTCCCAGCTGTCTGTAACTAACCTCATCCAATCCAGCACAGGTGTGCTGATTGGCTAGAATCTGCCTTCACTTATTGGTTAATATGCTGCCCACTGCTCCACCATGTGCTTCATCTCAACTGATCTCAAATACGATGATATTTCAAGGACCCTGTTAACAGATGTTCTGCTGCGCAGTTTGCAAAACGGAGCATGTGGGAGTGGCCTCGATTTAATTAAGCCTGTAGTCAAAGTAACGGGGAGAAATGACACTTTCTGTACCTTGTGGAGGATTTGAAACGTCTCCTAATTCATTTGCATGGATCCTGAAGAGGATGTGGTGCTAATGTTGCTGTTGGATTTGTGTGCAGACATCCTGTTTTGCTTCATGTGAAATGTTCCTATTTGAGCAAAAGAAGGATGGGAAGTCTTGTTTCTTTTTAGCCATACAGTGCTTGGGTGTCCTTTTATTTTGATGGAATTTTTTTAATCGACCCTCTCTTTTCTTGTTTAAATCTTCCGCCATTTTCTTCGCTATGGCCGAGTCTTTGTGTGCCTGACTTTCATTCACTCCCACTGGCGTATGGGTTGTTAATGGGCCCAATTCATCAGTGGAGGGGGGGCTTCTTCTGTGAGTGCGGCTGGGGGCATTTAGCCTCCCCCTCCTCTTGATGGTTGTGGCATCAGGGAACAGATGATTTAGCGGCAAGGGGACAGAAAGTGCTTTGGATCTGATGCTTTGCTCCCGCCACGGCACTTACACTCTGTAATAGATTGAAGTGGCTCTTTGAAAGGCCTGCAGATGAATCCACTGTTCTCTCAGTTCCAGTGGCTGTGGCAAATATATTTGAGTGATAATTAGAGTTTGACTCCGCACATTGAAATTTCACACCAGACAGCACAACATGGAGTATTAAACCCTCCCAGGCTGGTGTACTTTTCTAACAGTCTATAACCTTGCTGCGTGGCCAAACAGTTGGCACAATGTATTCAAATCCTAGGGCCTTGTTTTGCACTGTACTGGGGGGTGTCTGTGTGACGTCGCCCATTCACGTTCGGACTCTGAGAACCTTTAAGCTTTCCAGGAACGTGCCTTGCTAGAAACTAGGTTGATTGAGGAACATGGCATGGGCTGAATGAAATAAATACCTGAAAACAGGAAGTCTGCTGGCCATCTGGAATGGTGTCCAGGCCCTGAATAGACTGCTGCTGTCATTTGCAGAACCCGCCGAGTGTTTATGGAGGAGGTTCTCTTTGGTGGTTCGTTTCATTGTGAATTTCAACCTGTGAGGCTGTGAATGCGGATGGTGACGTTTCTGAGCAGGCACCTCGAAAGACACCTAATACATAAACACATAAACGCCCCTCCATGTAGGATAACTTTAAAGCTGCTTTTTAAACATTCACCGTCTGACTCTAGTTTGGTGAAATGTTTTCTCATTTTCTATTGAAAAGCACATAAACATAGACCTGCGATCAGGAGGAAGTGAAGAGCCTGTCTCTGCTCTGCTGATCTGTGGACGAGTACCTGGAGAAGGTTTCGCAGAAATATCGCCATCTCACGCGACGTTTGGATGTAACCCGGCCCACAGCGATCCAAACACAGACAGTTTTCTGGCCCTGTGCCTTTGGGCCGTCACGCAATCCAGGCGCGATGTCGTCGGATAGAGCTGAACATCAGTGTTGTTGGCTCACATGACCTTTCCTGGAGGACGTTGGCTATTGGAGGGAGGGGGGTAGATCTGCAAAAGCTGTCTTGTCATACGGCCTCCCATGGACGATTATGTGGGCGGGCTTACTGGGGCTACTGTGCACACGGCTGGGTACCCCCCACCCCCCAGGTCACAAGACGCCTGTGTTAGGTTAGCCTCCGGCTGAGATCCTGCTCCCAGAATAGCCCCCCCGGCCCTGCAGCCGGCTGGCCTCTGAGCTGCTATCGTGCTCCAGTTGGCATCGGTACAGTTGTTGGGTCGTGGATGATCTGTGGTGGGGGGGGGGGGGGGGGGGGGTCCGGGGGGTTCCTTTTCTTGGGGGGGCGCCGGGTGGAGGGGGGGGGGGGGGGGGGGGGGGGGGGGGGGGGGGGGGGGGGGGGGGGGGTGATGCAATGGGGCCTATTTATGGGCGGACCCCAACGCTCTGCAGCACGCCCGTATAAGGGAAGGCGGCGAGGCGGGCATTTTCTGACCCAGCCGCATCTCTCCTGTCCTCCCTCATTCTCCTCCTCCCTCTTTTCCTCTCTCGCTCTCCCTCTTTCACTCTCTTGACCCTCCTAACCTGCTTTGCTCGGACCAGCCTTCCCCTGTTCTTTTCTCTCATTGGCCAAGGCCAAGCTAAATAGCCCATCCTCCACTGCTGAACATCACCCTTCCCATACAGGCAGGACCAAAATACCCCCCCGCAAAGCCTTGCTACAAAAATACCCCCCCGGCAGCCTATGAGGTACGTGCTTTGCATAGCTTCCATTGGGAATAAAGTATCCCGAAATACAGAGCACCGCTTCAGGGTCCCTTGACTTTGAGGCCCGAGGGTGTGGTCGAGGTGGGGGGGTGCTGGGATCTGATCCTGCCAATGACACTTAAGCAGCCGGAGGCACATGGCGTTCCTGGCGTTTCTGGGATGAGGGATCATGTGACTTTCTGCGAAGCTTGGCGGGATCTGTCCCGGCCAGAAAGGGCACGGCTCAGCGTGTGGGACCGGACAGCAAGGGGCTGCCAGGACAGTGGGGTGCAGACCTCCCTCATCACTTTGCAGACAGCTAACTTGGAGCTTGATCACCGAGTCCCGAAGATGGATGAAAGGTGGGGGGGGGGGCTCTGACATTTGGCCTTTTTTTTCCCCCCCCCCCCCCCCCACCCAGGCTCCACAGACTCCGGCCCAAACACTGGGAACCCCTTTCTGATTCAAAAGTTCCTTCTCTGGTGCTGCAGAAGCTCAACAGCTTCACCCCAGACTTAAATCCATTTCTCACCCTGTCCCTGACCCCATTTACAAGAATCAATTAAAATTTGCTCTGTTATCTAAACAAGCCAATCACAGTAAAGCACAGAGGATCACAGATGCACCCTGAGATCAGCTCTTGCCGCTTATAGGGTGTCTCACGCCCTGTGCTGCCTGGAAAAGGCTGCAGGCTCACCGAGACACTGCTGGATAAGCAGTTATGGAAGATGGATGGATGGCGTACCACAGATATTGCATATAAAACAAGATTAAACTGAACAATGTTTGTCATTTTTATTTTTTTGGATCTGTTGCTGTTGCTTGGTTAATATCCGTCTGCATTTTTTTGTCCAAGGATGTTTGTCACGCATGCGTGTCATTTCCTGTCTGTGCGGCCCGGTTAGGAAATGACACGCCTGGAATTAATCTGGGTTACCTGGATCTGAGTGTCCACTCCACCGACTCCCCACTGGCAATCTGGCCTTTTTTCACTGACAGAAAGGTTCACATTTTTTACAGGTGAACGAGAAGTTAAGGAAGAAGGCCTTTTTCTGGGGCGGAACGCAGCGCAGCATCCTGGGTGTCGCCACGCCATTCCTGGCACAGACTCCAGCTTTACTGTGACCCTGTAAAACGTTTACGACACATTATTTGTTTAATAAATAGCTTTAAAATCTTCATTATTCTGTGATGAGCCCACTGCTTCCAGGAGAGACTCTGGACCCCCGCGACTCGGCAAGCGGGTACAGGAGATGGGTAGATTGAAGCTTGTTGCTTGTACACTGGTGATTATGGGGTGGACGTCCTTCTGCTGGGCCTGAAGATGCTGGCTTCCCTGTCCAGGACACCCAGGGGTCGTCAGCTGCCGTTACCCACCTGCTCTCAGAAACATGCTGTCTGAGTCTTGATCGGGGGGGGCAGTGGCCACCATCACAGATGGCTCAGTCGTGCCGAGTCTGGGCTGTTTGATGGGCTGCAATACACTTGCGGCTCCATCCCTGCAGCCTGGGGGCCCGGCGGCCGGCGCCCGCCTTTTGTCCCTAGTGCCGTCGCCGCGTGCTGACAGGCCGGTGCTAAGTGAGGTAATAGCCAATTGATTTTGTTCCTTTTTTTTTGAGCAGAGGACATAAATCAAAGCGTCTGTCAGGAACTGGGCTGTGTGAGGGTGGGGCTAGGGTCCTCTGTTTGTGCTGGGAGTGTGTCAACAATTAATCCACACCATGATCCCAAGGCCACAGCCACCTGACCCTGAAAAAGCCCCCCCCCCCCATCCTCTACACCACACACACACACACACCAGCGAGCACCCACAGTCCACCAGGTCTGCTTAAAATGCCCTGTGCTCCTGGGTTCACTGAAGCAATGAGCCTCATCTCCCACTCAGACAGAGAGTGGGCGGAGCTCACCGGTGATTGACAGGTAGGATGGGCTCTTGGGTGCTGCTGGGTAAATAGGGGACAGGAGGGAAGCTTGCACTGGCTGTGAGAGAGTGAGCGAGTGAGGGAGAGAGAGAGGGAGAAAGAGACTGCTACATTTTTTGGTCCTGGACCCGTGACCCAGTGTATGTGTGTGTGTGTGTATACTACTCTATATTATTATTTTTATATCTGTATTATTATGGTTATTTTATACAATCTTTTATACAGCATGACTGCTTTCGTTATAGTAATAATACACTAAAATGAAACAATATTAAAGAGTGCTGTGGTAACAATATACAACACACATTGTACTATAATAAAAACGTAACACTGTCAGAAGCAACATTGTCAGTGCTTATAAAAATGAACTTTATTGTACCCCTCATACAAAAAAGTTTTAAATTAATGTATTCCTTTAATCTTTTTGACGTTCCAGTATTGGCGGATAAATCTTGACGCATTGTGTGAATGCGCTGGCCTTTGCCTGCGGCCACAGCGGGGGGCCGGGGGGGTGTGGGGGGGGCAGCAATGGGCGCCCCACATAAAGGAAGCCAAGGCAGGAGTGTGAGAGAAAACACAGATGTGAGCTGCGCCAAGCTGCCTTAATCCTATTAACTCAATTATGGTAAAGAGGCCCGACTGGCCGCTAACAAAGATGCGAGCTGCCCTCCTGCAGGGGCCCAGCACACCCCCCTGACGCCCCCCCGGCACCGCTGCATCCCCAGCCACGCTCCCCATGTGGCTGCCCGGAGCAGCGGGCCGGTGGGCGGGGGCGGGGCAGCGGAGCATGCTCAGTGCCACCGTGCTCATTCCAGCACAGCTCCCGCCTCCTCCTGGGGGGGCCGCCGGGGGGTGCGGGGCCTTTCATTCCTGTCTGCCCAAAGGCCCGGACTCCTGCCCCTGGGAGGCAGGTCACTGGTAGGCATGCTAGCCTGGGATACCCCCACCCCCGGCCCCCCGCTGCCCCCTGCCCCATCTGCAATGAAAGGAGGGCCCTGTTTCCTGGGGAGGGGGGTGGTGCGAC